ATCTCCCAAGAAAACCAAATTTTGACAGCTATGACCCAAATGGTGGGTCAAAAATGTAATTAAAAAAGATACTGTTGAAAGTGAAAGTTGAAGTTCACTGTAAAATTAAATATGCTTTATCTAATATACTTGTGGCAACAGATTACAAGCAATATTATTAATTAAATTTAACAAATTAGAATTGAGTAATAATTAATCAAGTTATTCCTTAAAAGTTAACAATTTAAAATGAGTAAAGTTTACACCAAAAAATGAAACAAAAATATCTCACTAAGGCCGTGTGTCCACCAAAGCGTTTTTCCACGCGCCTGGCGTATGTTTTCAATTGTTTTCAATGGGAGCGCCGCGTTTTTTGAACGCCATGAGCGATGAGTTTTTTTTTTTTCACGCGGAAGCGCCGAGCGCCCGGCGTTTTTACTGGTCGCTGGGAGTTGAAAAATGTTTAACTTTGGATAAAACGCAGCACTCATCACTGTCACTTTTTACCCATGCGTCCAATCACAGTGGAGGAGGGGCGGGACTAATACCACACCGACCAACTGTCACAACATTCAAACTGCTGCATATATTCTGTATCATAGCAACCAAACGTCTCAAGGGAGAAAACGCTGCGCTGCCAAAACGCTCTCAAGCGGCCAAAGCAACGGCGGCTTCAGCAGAGCGTCTTGCGTTTTCAGCTGGCTAAAAACGCTTTGGTGGACACACGGCCTTACAGACAGACGTCAAAGATTAATTAAGAACTCTTTATTTTATATTGCCAACATTGAAGACTCCTGATGTTAACAAGCAGAATCACCCAAGAAAACTGTAATTTTAAAACAAACCTAAAACAAACACTGATCACCATAATGGTGACTTCAATTTATGTTTTTTTTGGTTATTGCTGTAAGTTTTACTCATTTTAAAGGGATAGTTCACCCAAAAATGAAAATTCTGTCAGTATTTACTCACCCTCATGTTGTTCCAACCCCGTAAGACCTTCGTTCATCTTCGGAACACAAATTAAGATATTTAAGATATTAAGATCGCTTCTGCATACAGTCCGTAGGCTTCTTGAGGGACTGGCTCTTGCTGTCCCCGAAAAGTCATTAAAGACATCGTTAAAATAGTCCAAGTGACTACAGGGGCTCAATCTTAACTTTATCAAACGACGAGAACACTTTTGTGCGCAAAAAAAACAACAAAAATAACGACTTTATTTCAACTATTGGTTTATTTCTCCCTCTGCGCGAGTCAGGTTACTAGTTTAATAGCGTAAGCTTCTGTTATTGTACGTCACACGCATCACACACACATGACCAGCGTCGGCCAATAGTGAGCCTATGTGTGACGTAGCTCTACGCAATCACACTACGTTAACTGACTTACAGGCTCATGGAGAAGGAAGTGAATAGTTGAAATAAAGTCGTTATTTTTGTTGTTTTTTGCGCACAAAAGTGTTCTCGTCGTTTGATAAACTTAAGATTGAGCCCCTGTAGTCACTTGGACTATTTTAACGATGTCTTTAATGACTTTTCGGGGACAGCAAGAGCCAGTCCCTCAAGAAGCCTACGGACTGTATGCAGGAGCGATCTTAATATCTTAAATATCTTAATTTGTGTTCCGAAGATGAACGAAGGTCTTACGGGGTTGAAACAACATGAGGGTGAGTAAATACTGACAGAATTTTCATTTTTGGGTGAACTAACCCTTTAAGTGGTTAACTTTTAAGGAATTAATTTGATTAATTATTACTCGATTCAATTTTTTTTATATTTAATTACTAATATTGCTTGTAGTCTGTTGCCATACACAGTAGCACATTCATTTTTACAGTGTTCAGTTAAAAATTTAAATGACATTTTAACCCAACATTTGGGTTTGTCCATATTTGACCCGAGTTTGGGTTAAAACAACCCAGCATCGTTTAGACTGATGAATTTGTTGGACGACTTCTGCTTTTTCTTCAAATCCCACATCTAAAGAAGAGCTCAAATTCATTTTTTTTACCAAGTAGATTTGTCACTGGAATGCAATAAATCTCAGTTTGAGTCCGACACATGAATCTTCATCGTGGAAGTCAGGGTCAAAGTCTCTGGTGGGTTTAATGCTCTTGCTCATATCTTGATAGGTCAGTCCAATTATTTAATTGGATAGTACTGAGCACTGTCATTTCATTGGTGCCCTTCTTCTGACCTCATCCCAAGAGTCAATAATGAACCGTTAGCAACAAATCCTGCAAAGACCTTCTGAATGGTGGGAGCCAGACAACACTTATTCCGACTTCATTCGTTTTGCTCCAAATAGACAGTTTCTTTGTGGCGGTTCCCTTCTTTGAAACCGTGGTCTTTAGAATAGAGATTATTTCTGTCAATAAACCAAGAGGCCTAAAACGCAGGTTCCTGTTGTTGTGCGAAGAGAGTTACTGAATGGCTGAATAAAACAGCCCATTGCTTTACTTTTATGGGCTACATTTTGAAGGGTTCGATTATGACTGAAATATGAATCCGATGTTGGGCAAAGTTTATAATTGATGAATTGGCTTTCTTGTATTTTGGAATTTGAATCAAGTTGGACAACATGTTGAATTTTCTGAACAGAATCTCATTAGTCCAGGAAATAATTATAGCTCTTTATTCCCTGATATGTAAAAAAATACATTTTTTTCAATAGATAATACAGTTCATTTTTCCATTACTCTACATTTAATTTAATACTGTTAAACTGTTGACACAACCATCAAAGCAGACTTTAACTTGGCCATGCAGCATTACAAACAGTCCACATTATTTTCATATTGTTATAAAAATATATATATTATTAGCAAAATTTGAAATGACACATAAAATATTGAAATCAAATAACCTATTATTTATGTTTTTCAACTAAACTAAATTACAGCAAAACCATTATATTAAATACCTTTCAGAATATATAAACCCAAGGTCAAGGTCAAAGTTATGATCAAACATTATTGCAGTAATTATTCCAAAATGTTCATAAATTATCTGGTGTTTTTTTCTGTTTTAGATGTTCGACTACTGTTTTTTTTTTTTTTTTAAATGATACTTGTTTGTGAATGTTTAGAGATTGTTCAAAAACGTCCCAGTTTGCAAAATGATAGTCAGAAATGGGATGTTCCCTTAACGGTCATATAACCAAACGCTTACAATGACTTCAGTCATATTCATGTTTTTCACTTATGATCCGAATTATTATAGATCCTTTAAGAGGATGTAGAAACACTTGAGTCATTATTACCTTTTACCATAAATTATTCATTGTTCATGTTAATTGGGAGGTATGAAAAAATAGTGAACAAGGCCTACCACATTCAACTGAGGGCTATTACTTACCAATTTGTTAATCAGAGTTTCTTGTTAGTTACTAGAATGTTAACAGTGCGTTATTAATGTGTAGTTATTCATTCATGAAGAAACAGTATTATAATCCATCACTCTAAAAAATGCTGGATTGTTTCAACCCAAATTTGGGTCAAATGTGGACAAACCCAAATGTTAATAATCCAATTAAAAAAAATTACAGTTGAAAGTGAAGTAGTTCACTTTAAAAAAAAAACTTTTGCTGATAATTTACTCACCCCCATGTCATCCAATGTCATTCTTTCTTCAGTCGAAAATAAATTAAGGTTTTTGATGAAAACATTCCAGGATTTTTCTCCATATAATGGACTTCATTGGGAACCAAACAGTTCAAGGTCCAAAAGACACTTTCAGTGCAAACTATTCAAAGGGCTTTAAACGATTCCAGACGATGAATAAGGCTCTTATCAAGCGAAACGATCGCTCATTTAAAAAAAAAAAAGTTTAAGTTTTATAAGCTCAAATGGTCGCCTTGCTCTGTTCTGTTTTGTTCGTGACTCTCCTGTTCGAACTCGTTCATCAAAATGAACAAATCTTTTTCCGAATAAACTCGTTCATTTCGTTCGTTGAATGAACCAAATGACACAAAAAAAGATTTGTTCATTTGATAAACGAGTTCGAACAGGAGAGTTACGAACAGAGACCAGAGCAAGGCAACCATTTGAGCTTATAAAACTTACACTTTGTTTTTGTTTTTTGTTTTTTTGTTTTTTTAAATGAGTGAGCAGATGATTCTTGAAAAGAAATGATAAGACCCTTATTCATCATCTGAAATCGTTTAAAGCTCTTTGAACAGTTTGCACTGAAACTGTCTTTTGGACCTTGAACCGTTTGGTTCCCAATGAAGTCCATTATATGGAGAAAAATCCTGGAATGTTTTCATCAAAAACCTTAATTTCTTTTTAACTGAAGAAAGAATGACATGGACATCTTGGATGACATGGGGGTGAGTAAATTATCAGCAAAAGTTTTTTTTTTTGAAAAAAAGGATTACTCCTTTAATATTTGAAATTTGGGTTTGTCCCTATTTTACCCAAATTTGGGTTCAAACAACCAAGCATTGTTTAGAGTATGTTCTCCATGTTTGTCCATTCACTTTTTATTTTAATTCCTTTCTGTGAAAAGCACTTTGAATAATAGTGTATATGAAATGCTATCGTTGAACAATGCTGGGTTGTTTTAACCCAAATTTGGGTCAAATATGGACAATCCCAAATATTTTTACCCAACTTCATTTTTTACTTTCAACTGTACATTTTTAATGACATTTTTAACCCAACATTTGGGGTTGTCCATATTTGGCCCAAATTTGGGTTGAAACAACCCAGCATTTTTTAGAGCTATGGAACCTATTCTTTACAGCACAATAAAAAAGGATCTTTAGACAGATTAAATGTTCTTTACTCTATGCATTTTTATTTTATCTTTAAATAACTGTTCTCTACAAGGTTCTTTTGAGAATCAAAAATGGTTCTTCTGTGATACCCCCACTGGAGTCTTATTTTTAATGCGTTATGCGGGTGCATCAGTGAAATGCAGGGAAGGGACTTTTTTTTTTTTTTTTACAGCACGTACCCTTGTGTAACCCGCCACACATGAGAATACCAAACCCTGGATTGTCATCTGAACATATATACTGTCCGTCTGAATGAGGCTTCGGGAGCGTTTGGATCCTCAAAGGCGATACGTCATTGCGAGCCTCAGCGATTGGCTGGATCCAGCTCCTTTTCCTCCACAATTTGTGCAACCACGAGCGGTCTTCGCCTCCGGAGCAGAGACATCCCTACAGTAGAGGCAGGTAAACTATCGGTTTCAATGTAGATCTTCGCATGTTCGTGTGTCTGGTGAAGCTAGTTATTTCTTTTCCCTGCGTATGGGCTACTTTATGGTTTTCTTCAGACTGCATCTAATCGATGAACAGCCCTGCTTCTGCTGGCTGATCTGAAGGAATGTCGCAAGCTGAGAAATGAATGCTGAAACAGATCTATGTCTTTTGTAATTTGTAAAAGAATAGCTTTGTGAAAAGGGAATAGCGGCATTATTTGCGCGCATAAGCCGCAAAGTTATAGCGACCAGCGCGCGCGCGCGCGCCCAGTAGGCTACGAATGAGATCGCTTTTGTTCTTAAACATATTCTGTATGCGTCAAAGGTGTGGATTTGAAAGTGTTTTAAAGGAGGATTTCCAACGTGACTAGAATTGTAACGCTAAACCCCCACATGCTCTTTTCTAACCCTGGATTCCTCATTGGATCTATTTTAGGTGGACTCGTTTCCCCCCCAAGAGACATGAATGCAATATAGCGCGCGCACTCGCAGGGGTGGACATTTCTTTTCGCTCTCATCTCGTCAATTCTTCCCTGCAGACACACACAGCCCGAACCGGACTAAATGAGTGCCCGGACCTTGGAGAGACTGGCGCTCTCCATTCCCCACTGTGCCTTAAACGGAACCGCTCGGACCAGCAATGGCACCTGCTTTGACCGGGTGGATCAGTTGTTCCAGGCGTTCTCATCCACCGTCGTGCTTTTCGTGCTCATCGCGATGATCATTGGGATAATAGCCGTGTCCATCACGACCTTCCACTTTCACAAAAGCAAGATGAAAAAGCGCAAGATCCAGAAAGCCCAGGAGGAATACGAGCGCGACAGCCGCAGTCCCAAAGCGGGCAAAGGCAAGCCGGTGGTCCGGCAGTGCATCATGGTGAGACCCCCCACGGCAGTGCGGAAAACTGACCCAAACACGGAGGATCCTGGCGTGACAGAGGACATGGGACACTCGGGACAGGCGAAGGACGAGAACTTGTTGGAATCGGTCGCTGTGTCTTGATAACGCAGTGCCAGCTTCGCGAGGACACTGTAAATATCCCATGTATTCATATGATATTACCCACGGAATATATCGATTCTTTGTATAAGCATTACAGTTGATACGTTTTCATCGTATAGATCCCGGAGGAGAGAAATCTATGGACAGTATCTCAATGGAGAAAAGACTATGCGGACTGTGGAATTTCCTATCATTGTAATTTGGAGCCGGTCCTATAATGGGATCAGACGAGAGTATTGAAAAAGATCCTTGGATAAAATGAAAAGGCATTAATAGGTTAATCCAACAGGATTTTATTGAACGCGAATGGAATTTTTTTTATCATAATTAGGAGTTAATTACAATGACATCAAACATAATACCCTCTAAGAATCAAGCTCCTACTGATAAAATGACATTTTGGACAAAAATATATTATTAGATGAAATCTTACCTAATTAATTTGATCAAATAAGAATCTTCTTCTAAAAAAAAAGATCCTATTGGATGACATAAATTGAAAAGGACTTTATTGAATGCAAATATAATCAAAATTAGGAGTTAATCCCAACTGGGTCATTTATTTTTATTTTTATGAATCAGTAAAATCTTACTGGATTAAATGAATAGTATTAATTAATTAGATAAAAAAATAAGAACCTTAAAAAAAAAAAAAAAACCTTAGTTAATCTAAAAGGATATTAATTCAGATCCAATCCAAACTGGGTTAAAAAGCAATCCTCAACAAGATTATATTTGATAAAAATGAAATTCTGGGGGAAAAGACATTGATCAGTCATTTGATTTACTCGGAACCGAATCCAAACCGGATCAAATGTGAATCCTCCATTCTTTTGCCCAAGCCACTTTTAGTTAATGTTTTCCCGAATTTTAGTACGCACATTGTCTCGTCCACTCTTCATATTGTCGTGCCACCAAGAGGAATCAATGGACGAATTATGACAGTACTTCCAAAGTTTATAGTGAAGGGACGGCTCTCTTGTATAAAGTCTGTACAGACGCCAAAATAAGGACAACGGAGACAACGGTCTTGTTCGTGTAGACTTTCAACACAACTCGCAACAGTTTTTCTTTGTTTTGGGGTTTCTGAAACCCTTTTAGGCAACATTGTTGTTTCTTTTGACAAATGGACTTTCTTAATTGGGATTTTCTTTTGTCTCAGTGGCTTTTTTTCCAAGATAGAAGTGCAATTCGTGCCATTCTGGCTTGGCATGAATAGGTTTAGTGTTTTAACCCCTTTATCCCCGAGACTGTTAATGTGCAATTGCTGCTGCTAGTGGTAGTGTATAGCCTGTACTTGTTTTGTCCATGGCACTATATAATCATAGTAAAACTTATGTAACCTGAGGCATTTCAGTTTTGTGTTACAGCTCTGTATTAATGCTCTTTTGCATTTTTGCTCTAGATTAATATAGCACTAATGATTGAGTATTATATTTTCTATCATTCCTAACTAGTGTAACAATCAGTAAGAGACAATAGAACATTTTAAAAGTAATTTTTCTGTATTTCCTTGACGTTGTGTTGAAGCGGAAATGGGAGTCGTAGACCGAAATCAAGTATTGTAACAGATCGCAGTTTGAATCTTTGTTTTGTTTTCATTTTGTTCAATGCATACGATTTTGAATTACTAATAAAGTATTGTGCAAATGGGTGTCTCATTTTTTAAAATTCATTAGCATGAATCATCTTAGAATTATTAGAATTATTGCCCAAGGCATCATAACTGAAGAAGTGCCAACATTTAAACTTAATACATTAAGGCTCTAATATGTATTAATATTCGATTTACTTTCTTTTAAATCAACAATTAAATTAAATGGAGTGATTAAAGTGTACCTTTAAAGGTTTCTAATCGTGTTTAGGTCTATAGTAAAAAATAACTAATTTTCTCATAATAAACTATCTATCTATCTATCTATCTATCTATCTATCTATCTATCTATCTATCTATCTATCTATCTATCCATCCATACATCATCTGTCCATCCATCCATCCATCCATCGTCCATCCATCCATCCCTCATCCGTCCATCCATCCGTCCGTCCATCCATCTATCCATCGTCCGTCCGTCCATTCATCCATCCATCCATCCATTGTCTGTCCATCCATCCATCGTCCATCCATTCATCCATCCATTCATTGTCCGTCCGTCCATCCATCCATCGATCCATCCATTCACCCATCGTCCGTCCATCCATCCATCCATCGTCCGTCCATCCATCCATCCAGTCTTTAAGGCCTATAATTCTTAAATTCTTCAAAATATTTTTTCCAATACTTCATTTCAAACATTTAAAACAAAAAAACAGACAAGCAAGTTTTTTTCTTGACAATTTATCAGTTTTCTTGACAATTTTCAGACGAGACAGTTTTATGAATTTCATTGAGTTTTAAATCATTTTAGTTCAACTTCCTTGCATTCAAATTCGAATAGCAATTCTGCATTGTGTTTGTAGGGAAGCTTGTTTTCACCTCAGAAAAAAATAAATAAAAATAATTGAATAAAATTAATTGTGTCTTATTATTTCACAATTTTATTTCTCGCAAGTGTGAGTTTATATCTCATTTTCTATCTCGCAATTCAGCCTTTTTTCTTGCAATTTCAAATGTATAACTCGCTTTATAACTGTCTTTTTTTTCGTCAGAATTGTGAGTCTATTTTAACGATCCAAGCACATGGTCTAAAGCACAGGGCGCAAGTGTCTGAATCCACTTTTGCTAGTTTAATGACGGGACAAATGGTCGGCGCTCCCGGCGCATGGTCTAAAAGTGTTGTCCCTATTCTCCTAATGGTTCTGTTTTGGGCTTTACATGCAATAAACCAATCAGAGTCTCATCTCCCACTCCCTTTAAAACCTAGTTGCACTCGTACATGCCAAAAATCAAGCCAAAAATGCGCCTGAACACACTTCGCTTTCAGACCAGCAGCCCATGGGAGCACAAATGGTTATTTGAATAACCTGGCGCACGACGTGAAAATGATAATTGCGTCGGGCTGAAACTAGCAAAAAAAAAACCCAAAAAAACAACCCGGTCTCATCCCAAGGCGTCATATAGGTGACGCTTTTGAAATTGCGTCTACATCCGACGCACACGGCACCCTTTAGCGTCAATGTGAAATGCTGATACACATGGGCCAGGAAGGCGCCTCCTAGTGGTCTAACCCTAACACTACCCCAGACCTAAACCTACCCATAACCGAAGCGTGTTATATTGACGCGAAAGGGTGCCATGTGCGTCGTATTTAGACACAATTTCAAACGCGTCATCTGTATGACGGCCTGGGATGAGAATGTGTCGAAAAAACACTTGCTAGTAATATAAACAGAATTGTAAAATATCTTTTTAATTGCAATATTTATATTTATATTTTCAATTTTTATCTTTCAATTCGAACATTTTTTCTTAAAAAGCTTATATCTAGCAATTCCGACTTTATTTCTCATGATTCCAAGTATATAACATTTGTCTCATTGCGAGAAAAGAAGTCCAAATTGTGAAAAGTCGTAATTGACTTTTTAATTTATTATTTATTCCTTAGGGAGGAAACTAACTTCTGTATGCGTGTTGCCCTGTTCTGAGGGAACTCTCAATTCAGTTTTGACCACGAAACACAATGCAATGTTCCTGTCAGAGGTGTAGGATATAAAGCACAGCTGTCAGCTGTCTAAACTACAATTGGGGCCTGAAGTCAATCACCCTTCACAAATCAAATAATTATCACTCCTCTATTTATGTTAAAAGGCTAATTGCTTGACTGCTGCAATAACCACTTTGTGTGGGACATGAACAAAAGTGACAGAGGAGCACCGCTGGGTAGAGAACAATATCTCCTCTCATTTCTTCTTCAGTTGAACTTTAGAGCACAGCGGTTAGTGTGATACCACTGACAAAAGGGAGAAAAGAACAAACAGAAGATGTGGGAGATCTTTGCGCCTCCCCTCCAGCCAATCAGAGAGCGTTTCGAGTAAATACACCTGTGTGTTCGACACTGTTCGGTGTGCCAAACTTGTGCCCACTACACAGCCCACTCTCCTCTCTATGTCTCACTGTGTGTGTGGGCCGCCGCAGCCACTGGCAGCACATTGTACACGTAACGGCTCTCTCTGCCCACATCACATTAGTGTGTGAATTCATTATTCGGTATGAATAAGAAGATTGAGATTGGATGACTGTAATTAATCTGAAAGTGAAAAAAAAACAAAGTTTCCATCCATACGTTAGCTGTTTCCTCCCACATAATGGAACTATTTGCTGATTTATCACAGTCAAACCACATCATAACACAAGGAGCACATCTGCATCAAAATGTCAAGGTCAGTAAAGGTTTTTCTTGAACTAATCTATCTCCACGGTTGGCCGTGCAAGCAGTAACAGTGTGGAAAATGGACTGAATGCCAATAGAACTGCAATTCTCAACATTAAGAAGGTTTTTTTTGGCTGGCCTCGCCAGGACAGTTGGTTACCCCACTAATTAAGCATGTGAGCAAGTCAATAAATCATAAATAAATATATATTTTAGATAGATTGGTTGATTCATGGTTAATTCATTTGAATTCTTACATTCTCATTCACATTTTTTCGCACAATCGAAAATCCCATCATAGTATTCATTTGAAATCTCCATCTCGTAAATTGGGTGACATTTTCCTGTGAGATGGGAAAAACAACACATAAAAACTAGCTGTCAAACAATTAATCGCGATTAATCGCATCCAAAATAAAAGTTTGTGTTTACATAATATATGTGTGCGTAGTGTGTATAATTATTTTATATATATTAATACAAACACATGCATGTATTTAAGAAATACTGTATATAGATTTATATATAATTTATATTATATATAAATATAAATATTTTATATATAAATACTATTTTTTCTTACATATACATGCGTGTGTGTATTTATATATATACAAAATAATTATACACAGTACACCCACATATATTATGTAAACTCAAACTTTTATTTTGGATGCGATTAATCGCGATTAATCGTTTGACAGCCCTAATAAAAACCTTTAAGTGCTTGAAATTGCACGGACATAAAACTCATTGACTGATCTTTTTTTTAGCTTGGAGTAAATAAAAGTGATATTTTAACTAAAAGTGATATGTAAAAGCTAACCAACCTCACAATCTTCTCAAAATGTAAACTAGCAAGGAAAATGCAGAGTGCTGTAGGGCTTTTATTAAGTGCCGAAACACCACAAAGATGGGGAACGTTCGGCGACGATCTAGAAAAAAAGTTTTCCTTTTGCTTTTTTCACGGACAAACGACAACGTTGTCGAAACGATCCCTGCTGACAAGAATCGACTATAAACGCTATATTCTGCAGCCAGGCCAGTAGTTGGCGATGTCGCTCTGCAAAGAAAAACTACGTGCCTATAGTCTGAACATGTACATATGTACAACCAGACTGATCTCATGAAATGGCCAATTCGTATTTCCATTTTTGGCGTGCTATCAACACACATAATCGCTTTTCTGCGTGTTTATGAATGCCATTGACTTAACGTTTCATTACTTTATATATAAATATAGGACCTACCTCAACCCCGTCCCTAAACCCACCCGTCACTGGGGTTAATAGCAGTTATAAGTCTTCCCCTACATTCCTAGGAACAAAAAATATCGCTCCCCAGATGTAGATCTACATTTTGCATCGTTTCGCTCGGACATTTAACGGTGTGTACATACACGGAGAATCACTTGGATATTTAACGATGTAAACTAACACGCATACACGCGGATAGCTCAAAATGCATATAGATAACACTATACGTCTATGTTTACGCAAAAGTCATGATGTCATGTTGATGTACAACAGTTTTCACAAATTCACATTTTTTGTGGTTTACATGGAGACAATAATGGTTATTTTTGCAAAAAACTTGCACTTTGAAACCCGATTTCAATAGCTTGCGTTTTCAGGCCACCAAAATACTATTGTGATGTGAATGAACAGACAAAACGCTTAAAATGTTTTCAGTTTTTAGTATAGTTTAAACAGCCTCTGAATTGGGAAGGAAATAAGGAGTAATAACTAATAATCCAGCCCATTCTCATCCTTTAACGTCATATAGAACGCTATATGCAAAAACGGCGCTATACTGCGCACATGGCACCCTTTATCGTTAATATAACACGCGAACCCAAGATGTTATAAATCCTTTAGCGTGAATATGACACGCACACCCTATCCCACACCTAAACTTAGCCCTCACAGCACGTGTTATATTAACGATAACGGGTGCCATGTGCGTAGTATAGCGTCGTTTAGCGTTCTATATGACGTTAAAGGATGAGAATGCGTTGAATAATCTGATAACAAGGAGGACAAGGTAGAGACATCAGCAGTGTTGGAAAGCTACTCTGAAACTGTAGTTTGACAAGCTACAAGCTACTCGTAAGTTAAAGTAGTTAAACTACTCTTTTGGAAAAGTTAGCTACACTACAAGTTACTATCAAAAAGTAGCTACATTGAAACTACTTTTGCTTTTTTGAACAACATATATTATTAATAACTGAATAAGTGTCTGAGGACAGAAGGGGACAACAATACTTTTTGAAATCATAATTTTATTGCATTGTTTTAAACACTAAATGTTTTAAAACATTTAGTGTTTAAAACAATGCAA